TATTACCAAGGCAAAAAAGGTGGTGTCTTAACAATGTGCAGCAAATTATGCAATTTCTCTAAATTTCATACAGAACACTTAAAGCCATAATTAGTTGAACCCTTTGTCACACAAGAGTGACCAGCATCTAATTTCTCCTTACAATATCAACCCTGAATCAAACATTAAGGTCACAAGAATAAAGGAAATGATCACTAACTAAAGAAGCTCTTGATAATTTGTCAAACAAATTCTCCTTAGGAAGATCTGTTATAGGCCAGTCTACATTTAAATTTGCAGCAAGAAAAGAATGGAACAATTTACCTAAAGTAAATTGCAGGCTAAAGACTTAAATTTAAGAAATTTTAAGTCAAAAACATTTCAGCAATGGTTAGTTCTAACAAGACAAATTATACAACACAAATGTAGCACATAGTTTTTAGATCAATTCTTATAATTATAAGTTATTGTTGTAACCAAATCTTATCTTCTATTTTTCAACATATGTAGATATTTTCTTATTTATTCATTTTTTTTTAATGCTAACACTACTTTGAAATATGTTATCAACTGCACAAAGGCAAGATCGGCTGTCTTTTAATTTAAATTCAGCTGATCTACTTTTGCAGTATAAAATAAAGTTATAATAATGTTTATTTCATTTTTATTTTTTAAAGTCTGAACCCAAGGAGAATATAGAATAAAGTTAGGAATACGTTAGGATGTAAAAGATTAGCTATGAATCTTGTAGAATTGTATATTAGCTGGAATTAGGTTTCGGAGGGCCTATTAATCCATTGCATAATTTTCCTTTCCCTATAAACAGCCTTGATAAAGAATTAAATTAATTTGGACAGTTTGCTACTTTTCAAAAAATGTATTGTGTGATTGGGTCCAACTTAAGGTAAATAATCACCCTATGAATTAGACTCAAGTTATATTATCATGCCTTGTAGAACTGGTACTTTTAATTAGTTAATTTATAATCACACACCCATAAATTTGAAAGAACAAAGTTTAACTGATCTTATAATGTACAAGTATACTCTTTGATTAAACTGATTTCAATCGGTAATTTTCTTACCAAAATCAGGATCTGCTTGCAACATCCTGGTTACTGAACTCTGTATACCACCAACACTTTTATCATCACAGTGAGCAACAACCTTTGAAACAAATATTTATATATAATCTTATTTACTTGAACAATAATATACAATACTTAAAATTTTACAGAGATACAGCTGTATCTAAGATAAATGTCTTACATTTAGCGCACCCACTCACCACTGAAAACTAAGTTTAACGTGGCTTTTAAATTCATGACCAATTAATTTCAGCTGTTTAATGGCCCTTAATTAATTAGGCCGCAATTAGAAGAAACCATCTGCAGATCTCAGCACTATCCCAAAGATGATGACAATATAGAAATCTGAAATCTGAAGAATTCTTTTATAATTGATCACAATTTTCCCAACCCTCCCCTCCCTTAAAAACCCTTTCACTCCCATGAGTGACCAAGACAGAATTTCTCCTTACAATATCAATACAATACCAAGCAGACAAGTGATGAGATTAAAAAAATATATAAATTAGGGGAATTTATTAGTTGATCATATACCAAGTTGACTCTAAACTGCATTTAGCATCAATTGTATAATGACAGACAATTAGGAGAATTACTCATTAGACCTTTGGAGTGAAGGGTTACAATTTTGTTGACTGACCTCTCTGTCTAAGTTCCCCAAAATGCTATCAACAGGTACATGTTCGTCGACAATTTATTTCAGACACCATGCATTACATTCACACCATTACACCTTAACCCTTTCAAAACTATCAAGATCTGATTATGAATTCTCCCCTCTAGCTGCTACACATTTCCTTGAACGTTGGTTAAACGAGAATTTGGTGTCAATCAAGGTAACAACTTCTTCCTGATAAGTTTGAGTATTCTCATTACCTGTTTGCTGGATCATGTACATAGTTACATACATACATAAATACATACATACATACATACATACATACATACATACATACATACATACATACATACATATGTTAATTGACCACTCCCCACGTCAGGGCTTTTGAGGGCCAATTCCCACCCAGCAACCACCCCAGGGGAGGACATCCATCACAAAGTAATCTCATGCGTGGGAAATTAACATCTC